TTCAACACGTATATCCCAAAATTTAACCTCGATGCCCGCCCTCTTCGTCTTCGATCGTACCCCCTTGGGAGTCTATCTTGCTTACCTGCAACGTGTATTTCGTGCAGCCCCTGGGGCGGGGGAAGGAGGAGGGAGGAGGATGGAGCCCGAGAGAAAGTAGCAGCAGATGGGGCCAGGAGCAGAGAACACGTGGCAGAACCAGACGGGCAGATTGGGCGGGTAGACCCTTGCAGGCGGATCGGGCAGGCGGGCCCAGACGGCCAGATCGAGCAGGCGGGTTGCTGAAGCGTGCGTCCTGCACGAATCACAAAAAAGTGTCGAGCGACGGCGCGTCCCAAATAAATCGCGAGGAAATCCAGAGCCAGAGCGTGATGCCTGAGCGTCGAGGGTGCGATTTCTGTACTAATTGTGGGGAAGTCCCGCGCGAGAGCGCGATTCGGGAATAAGCTGTGTGGAAGTATCAAGCGGGAGCCGTTGTTGTTGTTGTAACTCGGGGGCCAGGGGCCCAATTCGGTGACCCCCCGCTTTCCCTTCTAAAAAACCGGGTGCGAGCTCCTGGAGGAGCACTTTAACCGAAAAACGCAATGTGCCCCAGAGGAGGGGATCAACAATAATTTTGTTCTTTAAAAATGAAGATTCCAAAACAGTACCAACAATGCCAGCAACAGTAGCAGCAGCAACAGACACAGCACTGCAAGCATGCACCGCGCCGAGGATCTCCACTTCAGCCACACGTCCAGGGACAGTGACTGACAAGTCGGCCCTCTCACTCTCGTATGCGTAGCGTCAGCGGGCCTCCGCCCGAAGCATGGTGCACCTAGTTTGTCGCACGCCTCACGCTCGCGAACCTACCCAGGCTTCTCAGGAGGCTGAGGCTGCTTCTTGGAACGCGCATGCCTTGCCTATAGATGCAGGGCCAGGCCGCTGTGGGCCAACGCATCGGGACGGAGTCGAGATCGAATCGGATCTGCGGCGCCAAGATGCACGCCAATGTCATGCAAGCACCGGGCCGCACTAGATCGTCGGGATGTCGGAGTCGAACCAAATCGGGCCAGTTGAACTCTACATCGAGTCGGATCGATCAGCATTTGACGTGCCCATAGCCTTTCACGCCATCGTGGCCCCCCTGGGGCCATCGTGGGCCTCGTAAGGGAAAGCACATGGAGGCCATCTGGGCTTCCCTGGAAGAGCTAGTGCGACATCGAGCCAGGAGGAGACCATCTCTGAACACATGCGGTCCTCTGGGAGAAGGTTAGGAGTCTACTCCTGGGAAGCCTTCGCGGGCACGAGTCCACTCAACCTGTTACAAGAAAAAGCGCTATCTAAGGAACGAAACCATTTGTTGCCCCAGAACCGCCCGAGTGCACGCGTAGCGCAGCGCCAGAGAAACAACCATGGAAGGACCTGATGATCAGCGAGCTGCTGCCGAACCCCGACTGTTCCCGATTCCAGCCGTCTTGGCTGTAAGAAGTGCGAGACCTTCTCCTGCTCGGCCGCCGCAAGCTTTCGTTGCTCCGCGGTGCGTGCCTGTTGCGTGTCGCACGTCGCCTTACGCCGTTGTTTTTGTTTGGGGGGGGAAGGGCAAGGGTGTGGGGAGGGGATCCAACACTGGCCCCAGCAATGCGCGCGCATCTCCGACAGATCAGCTGCATTCGGGAAACAATTGTCCCTGGCGCACGGAACGCGCCAGGGGCGGCTCCGCTAAGGGGGGGCCCAACGCAGGTCCGAGAAATCCGCGCGAAGCTCCAAAAGTTCAAGTTATGCTTATACAGTATTTGGTTGTTCGTTGTATGCGCATGTCAGAGTGAGGGTGACGAGTGAACAACACACACACAGACACCTACCCATCGGGGGGACGGAAGAGGCTATGGGTGCGTTTTTTTCGGATGGCTCCCCCGCTCGAACGGGAGCCCCCCCCTCTGTGACCCACGACACGCACCCATACCCATAGCCAGTCCTCCTCCCTCCGATCCCAGTATGGGGCCAGAAACCAAAAAGGGGACCACCCCACATGCGACACAGCGATGTTGAAAGCTTGGGCACTTGCCCCGATTACGACCACCTACGACCCACCTACGACACCGCCCCACCTACCCTACGACCCACCTACGACCCAGCGGGTCGTAGGTGGAGCGGGTGTCGATTGGTTCTTGGTCGATTAGGGGTACGGGTGTGTGTGTGTGTGTTGCTCGCTCGCTCGCCAGGCGGGGGGGGGGCACGTGGCCTCGCCCTGTCCTGCGCGCGTGCGCGCGACTGGACGACGGGGCGGTGCGTGCGGGGTGCCCCCGGTGAGGGGCACCCGGGGAGAGCGCGGGGGCACTCCCTTCGCTTCACGCCCCCCTCACTGCCGCCGCGCTCCCTCAGAGGTGTCTGCACTGGCACGGGATGGCCAGTGCAGCTGGGGAACACCTCGACAGGACCGAGCGGGGTCCAGTCACCAAGGGTCCTGAGCCGAGCCGAGACACCGACTCGACGCTCGAAGGTCCCGAGGCCCAGGCCGTCTGCGCGAGCTGGTAACCAAGCCGCATCCGCAGCGGTGCCCACTCCACGCCGTACCACTCACTGCTGCCGTCGAGACAGGGCCTCGAGAACGACGATCGAGAGCACCCGTCTGGGAGCGTCGGGCGTCCGAACCGGCGAGGCCGCTAAAAGCACTGAAAAGCCGGATTGAGGAACATCAGGAAAAAATTATCTCCTGGGGGTCCTCTTGGAGCCCTCTGGGAGGCCTCTTGGGCCGTCGTGGGGCGATCGTGGGGGGGCCTCCTGGGCCGTCATGGAGCGTCGGGAGACCGAGTGTGCGAGAACGCCCGAACCCCGTCGAAAAACCTGCGGAACATCAGTGACGGTCGCCTCCTGCGAGGCCCTCTTGGGAGGCCTTGCCGAAGGCCCCAGACCCCTATGGGAATGTCCGAAGCGAATGTCACTCCAAGAAGCCCGGGCACTAATAACACAGAAGGGTGCCCCTCCAAATCTGCGGGTGATCTTACCCCTTGAGCCAACTGTACCTACGCCACGGCAATATATATATATATATATATATATATATATATATACACACACCTATATACACATATACATACACAGGCACCCTCTGACGAATTTTGCGTGTACCTCCGTGTGTATTAAATCGCTGGCTCTCAGTGGTGATTTATACACCGCCACCCTCCCCTGAGGCCAAAGAACAATACAGTGGAAGGTGTCTGTGTATATTTTTCTTGTGGCAGAATATCTGCACTCGCGGGGTGATGGCAAAGCCGCCCACAGCAACAACACGACCGCATTCCGACCGACATGACCGACCGCGAAGTTGAAACCGACAAGCCGCAAGCAACCCAAGAAAACGTAACGACGCAACAACGACACGGCACTCAACCGCAACGAACCGACCAAACCGACTGAGACCGACTGCGATACAACCGAGCCGACCGAAGCGCTGAGACCCGGGACTCCTAGGCCCTCCGAATGAGGTCCGAGCAGATGGGGTCGAAGATCGCGCCGCATCGCCGATGCACATCCAATGCATCGGAGACGTCGACGATGCATCGGCGACATCGGGGTGGAGAAATTCGGGCTCCAAATCCATCCGCGTCGCCGATGCATCGGCTGGGCGGGGCGCAGCTGATGGAACGCACCACGAGGCTGAAAAACCGCCGAGCACCGATAATAACTAATTTCAACTGCAAAACGTGTCCTTAGAAACCAGCTTACGGAAGTTTTTGGTCGTTTCCATGCCGCCCAATAACGCGCCCAATCGCGCGCACAGCGGACAGAATGCATTTCCCTCACGTGGCGCGGGCGCTGCTGCACACTCTCGGGCGCTTCTCGAGCTCTAGTCGGCGTCACTGGGCGCTATGGAGCGCTTTTTGGCGCTGTTCGCCGGTATTCTCACGAATTCCAAGACGAGCGGACGCTGCCGTGATCTGCCCATCGGTCGGAAGAAGTGGGTAGAAACTTGAAGCAGGAAGGCGTTGAAAATAGGTTGGGTTCCCGCCCGCCCCCCAAAAAGGAGAACGGAACAGGTGAAGCCATTCGATTGTTGAAGTAGGAGGGCGCCGAAAGTAGATTGGAATCTGGAAATCCCAAAATACCTGCTTTCAACGACCGATGGTGCGCATCGTTTAACCGATCCCTATCCCCATGGCCGTGGCCTCGGCCCCACGGGCCGATTTACTCTCCTAGATGGGGGTATAGGCTGTTGCCTTCGGGTCTCGAAGGGATCTATCCCGAACTGGTGTGCTGAGATGGTGGGGCTCGGGATGGGGATGGGGATGGGGATCGGTTGAACGATACTGATACTCCGACCCCATTAACGACCCTCGTCAAAATTAACCTCAAACATGTCTTACGTGGCTGAACTGTTCGTGGGGAGATACCGGACAGAGTAGCGATGACGGCGAGGTACTTGTATGCGCCGCCCCTCCAGTGTCGGTCACCATCGAACTTCCGAGTCCTTCCTGGTCAGACCAGCTCTGCCCTGGCCCCGACGTCGGATGGGGCGTCCGTCGACATCGCAGGGCGTCTGTCGACATCGCAGGGGCGTGTTCGCCACTCCTGAGCTCGATTCTGACGAGGGGCAGCCGGAGGCCTGGACATCTCTTCGGCTACACGCAAGAGTGACCCTGGGTAAGAGTGACCTCTGGTGCGCGGTTCAGCGGGGGCCGCCTGGGGGCCAAGCACCGGCGCGCAAGCCGGCGCCATCGCCTCGCACTCGGCGAATTTCGGCGATTGGGGGGCCCCATGGAGCCCGCACTGAAGGTCACTCCGGCCAAGGGTCACTCTTACGTGTACTCCAGATTTCGTAATAAAGGGAGGGGGGTCTCATTTCGGGGGGGGGTCTTTTCCAAGCTATCTTGGAGGGCCTGGGGTGGTCTGGGGACGATGTTTGGAGGGTTCTCCCACGAGGGGGGTCTGAAATGCCTTGTCTTGGAGGGTCCAGACCCCCTCCCTTTTATTACGAAATCTGGAGTAGCCGATCTCTGTTCGTCCTCCCGCGGAGGGGCCTCCTCTGCCCTGCCCCGCGCGAGCGGCCCGGCGCCTGTCGCCGGCCAGGCCCCGCCCGCGGCCAGGCGCTCGGCCTCGGCCTCCTCCTCGGCCTCGCCGGGGGAGGCCGCGGGAAGGGCGCACCGCCACCCTTGCAGACGTGCTGCAGCGGATTGTGGCGCGCCTTCCCGTCAGCGCAGAACCCCGAAACGGCGGGCGGAAAGCGAAGCGAATTTCGGCACGGGATTCACACTTCGAAGTCCAGAGCGACATTCTCCAGGACACTCCAGGCCCATCCTGCCGTTTTCCAAACGAAATCCGCTCTGCGATGCTGGCGCCAGGAGAAGGTCGCACGCGTCACGCCGCGCACCACGGGGGAGACCGGAAGGTACCGATCGATACCGCTACTGCCGAAATGCGTGGCGGGGACGCATGCGAACTGCGGAACTGGGATCTTCAGCGGAGCTCCTATGGGGCCGAACCGCGTAGCGCGACTAACTTCGCGCCCTCGAGGGCGCCCTTGGATGTCGGAACTCCGCGCGGATGTCTTGGATCGGCGCTGGAGCCCCCCCCGGCGGCGCCCCTGGCGCGCTCCGCTCGCCGGGCAGGAGGGCCCCACGCCGATCCGAGAGAGGAGCTGCGCGCGAACCTCCTGGAGTTATGTCGGGCGTGTCCCCCTTATAGGAGGATTGTCGACGAAGAAATAAAGATACCCCAACAATTCTCCAAGAAGGTCAAAAATACTTACAAAATATTACCCAGACTATTTTTGGATAATTTTTTGGGGTATCTCTTATTTTTCGTCGAAAATCCCCCTGTAGGGGGACAGGCCCGACTTAATCCTGGAGTTCACGCCCATGCTGCTTTTTTGGTCCCCATTCCTGCCCCCTGCTCCTGGTGGGAACGGCTGCGGAATGAGAACGGGAACGTTTTCTTTTTCGGCGCTTCGACACTGGGCGGAAGGGGTGAAGGGAGGGGAGGTCTGGCACTGGACCTCAGCGGACTGCTTCTGTTTGCAGCAGTGCGTCCTATGCGGGAGACTCCACCTGCTTGAACAGGCGCCCAAAAAACAAGATTTACTCCATGGGGGATGGGAAGGCGGGTGCCCGGGCCGGCACCGAGATCGGCAAAACAATGAATAAGAAAACGATCACAACTTCGACGGCCATTTGGGAAGGACTACTAATCTCGGGTCGGGCGAAAGGGGGGGATAGCAAAGGGGGGGTTTGAGAATCAGCTCACGTAGCTGATTTTCCCGGCGCCTCCCGGCGCCAGAGGCGGCTATGTATCGAGGAATGGGCCCCTCGGTGAGGCCGAAACCAGCTGCATGGAGCAAATTTCGTAACCCCCCCTTTCCCAATCCCCCCCTTTCGTCCGGCCCGATAATCGAAGAACTACCCTGGCCAACACTCCGGCCAGCCTCAAACAACCCTCTGGCCAACCTGGGCCCACCCCCCCTGGCGAACCGTGGCAGGGGTAACTCTCCCCATGGGATATTGTACGGCGGGGTCGTGTCGTACCGACTTCGGCGCTGGTTCCTGACACCGCGGGGATCGTTCAACCATGAAGGATCGACAGTTTCCGAAGCGTCAGATCTTTCAATATTGGCCGATCTTGGGCCGCCAGCGGCGTTCAACCTTGAACGCCAGCGGCGGGATCGCCGCCAGTCGATACGACGCGAACCCACCGTATATGATCAGGGCTGGTGCTCTCACCCTCTGGCTGCTGTTGCGCCACGACCGTCGATCATGCGCAGGTTCGCCGTTGGGGCCGCCGGAGGCGGAACGAGAACCACGGCACGGCGCAGCACGGCGCAGGACGTAAAAGGCCGGCGTTCCGAGCCGACCCTCAGGCGACCTGCCGAAGATCATCCTTCCTCCCAGGCGGGACCTCACTTTGCATGAGGATGGCTTGTTTCACGCCCGATGCGGCTCACTGCGTCTGCTTGCAGTCTCATCCGCCAGTAGCACGCGGGCCGCTCAATCACACCAGCGCTTCAGGGCGTGAGTGGTTTCGCAGCACATTTCCTCTTCCAGCCCGCTCCTTCCCCTTCGGGGAGGGATCTGTCACTGTTCCTTACTGGTAAACACCCCCATCCTCCTCCCGACCCGCGACAAATCTGGAACAATGCCAACACCCTCCCACCATCCCTTGCATAAAACAAGCATTTTGCACCACGAATCTGGATCATGCGCGGGCACCCCGCGATCACTTTGCATAGGTTCTGTTGCACATACGGCGGGGGGTGCAACATATTGCCTGCTGTGTGCACTGTCAACAATCCCCCACTATCCCGCGCAAAGAAAACAGGACAAGAATCTGGATCGTGCGCGGGCGCTCCGCGAGCGCTTTGCAAGGATACGACAAGGGCGGCGGGGAGGCCGGCATATTGTCTGCTGTGCGCTGGTCCACGATCCGTTTCAAATGAATATGCGGTGTGCACTTTGCCAGGGACGGCGGGGGGGCAGCATATTGCCTGCTGTGTTCAGGCCAATCATCCCTTTCAAATTACCCGAGACGTGCCCAACCCTGCGAGCCGGCTGTCAACTGGACCGCGCTCCGTCCTTGCAATTTGCTTGATCAGCGAACGCGACCAGCGCTAAGGCGAGAACCACATCTTGAAAGCGGACAGCCCTCTATCCTCGCCATGTTTGAAAAAGGTTTCGAGACGAATGCGCACGGCGCTATCGCGAGATGATCGTGCTGAACACGATACGTCCCTCATCCTTGCCTCCATCCGTGGATCTGTTGGAAGTTTCAGGCTTCAGGGTCACGAGCGGCGAGGGCGCGGCAGGGGAAAACCCTGGCACGCCCTGCCGACACGCGTGCTGGCGCGACGAGCGCGAGTCATTCCTGGAGGCTGCCTGGGGACACCTCGGGCCAAAGACGTCCTCTTTTCCAGTATCACGATGGCCAGATAGATAGCACGCCAACTGCAATTGGAGATCACTACCTGGACTGGACTGGAAGAAGCCGCGCCTACACGGCGCGTCGGCAGAAAGTCGGGCGAGAACGGATGCCACGAAAAGTTAAAAATATCTGACCGCAAAGTGCATGCGCGCCAGAACACGAACACTGAGTTCGCAGAGTGGGCAGCGGTTGCAATACATCAGCGGGTAACCTGCAATTGGAGACCACTACCGCGCCCAAGCAATCCTCGCCGCCCTCACCGCAACGCGCAGGCGGTCTTCCCAGCATTGCCGTTTGCCCAGCATTGGCAAGCACCGCTTTTCACCATCGTTGTCCCAGCAAACATCAAGAACGGCGACGCCGTGAAGCAGCCAATGAATGTAAACGCGCAGAGCAAAAAAGCGACGCCCACGGCGGCGGCACCTCCTGCCATGGACCCAATCTGTCCACCAGTGCACCTCGCCCTGCGCCGCCTGCGCCGCCTGCTTCCTTTCTGCGTGAGTGCGCCATCCATCCCCTTGGCCAAGGAAGCTTTGCGTAACTGCGCCTCAAGGCGCCTCTCGAGAGAAGCCGGCATCTCCTGCGTTTGTAGCACCTCGACCATCTCTTCACGGCTCACCCAGACGATCTCCGTCCCAGAAGGGATCTCGAAGGCCAGGGTGTGACCAACAGGTGCCTCGCTGACGAAATCGAAGGCCATGCCCATGAACGTGTTTGGGCTTTGCGCTGAAACTGCGAACGTGTTGTTATCAACCTGGTACGACGCGGTGCTGTTACCCATGGACTCCACGCGCTCACTATCATGAGGGCATTGCTCAGTAACATTGTCAGTGTCCTCCACGAAAAACATCTTCAGCATCACAGGGTTCTCTGTTCTGCGATATTCCGCTGGTACGTCCATCAACATTGCAGGAGCATCGTTGGTGCCAGCCCCCATAAACGTTACAATTTCTGGCATGTCGACTGCAGCATCTGGATCAGGGGTTAAGACTGTCTTGATGATATTCCCACGATACTCCACTGTGGCCGTCACGTTCAGACCTCCATGCCCCGTGTAATAACAGATGTTGCCATTGGGGCAAGGCAGCAAGCCCCCTTGATAGTTGCACCCATTTTTGGCCAGCTGGCCAGAATACTTGCGCCACGTCTCGGCCGCACGGGCATGGAGCTCGGCCTCCGACGCAACGTGTTGGTCCATAAGGTACTGAAGGTCTAACATGCCACTGCGACTGTCGACTTCTGCCGCTGCAGCACCATAACCGGCACGCCTGAGCAGGGCCTCATCTGCGGCATTCTCCAGCGTCAAAGCCTGCAGCTGCAGGGCAAGGTTAGCAAGTAGAAGAAGGCGAACGATCCGCCACCGTGCGTCGAGGCACGAGTTGGAGTGTCCTCGGGTCCCTCAGAGTTCTCTCCGCTGAATATTATCATATGCTGTAAAGTGTGCACAACCCAAGAGGTTCTGGGCGCTTCGAAGCAGCCCCCGAGTCGCCCAACGATCGCCGTAAGACGCCCAATATTGCCGCCAGACCTTATGACGCACCAACAAAAACTCCAAGAGGCCGCTCAAGAGAGATCCAAGAAGGACCGAAGAGTCTAAAATCATTGAGACTCCGTGCGGGTTCGCCGGATTTAGCGTTATCGTTTTTGTCGGGCTCCCGACGCTCGAAGACGGCCAAGAGGACTCAACTACCGTCACAAAACGGCCCCCAAAGAGGGCCCAAACTAACCGGAAGACGACCCAAGAGGCCACCCAAGGCGGCCGAACAAGGCCCAAAGAGGGGCCCAAAGAGGGGAGCACGAACTGACACTTAGAGCTTTCGCCCCAAAAGGAATTCCTCAGATGGCCCAAAATGGCCTCAAGATCCTGCAAAACGACCCAAGAGGCCTCCTAGACGGCCGAACAGGCACCCCGGAAAGGCCTGACTATGCCAAATTCAATCATATTCCGTATGGATTCGAACGATTTGGGCGTTTGCTGATTTTCGACCTCCCGACGGCCCAAGACGGCCCCATAGGCTACCAAGAAGGCCCCAAGAGCGCCCAAGAGGCCCCCGAGGTTGTCCCCTCACGGCCCAAGAGGCCCCCAAGGCGGCCCCAAGACCTCTAAGCCGCCCAAGATGATCTCCAGGACGGCCCTGAAGCGCCCCAAGAGGGCCCCAAGTCGGCCCAAAGAGGCCCCCTAGATGGCTTCCAGCGGCGTCAG